GGCTACGAGCTGCGGGACTGCTGCCACTTTCGTGAGCTGCGGGGAAGCTGCTCGGAGTGGGTGCACCACGGAGATCCAGCTTCGGCTCCGCCGGCGGAGCTGGTACATCACGAGGGCTCAGGTTCGACCTCGCCGCTCCCCTGGGGGGCTGTGAGTTGCGAAGCCGTCGCCACCGTCATGAGCTGCCTGGCGGGCCCAGCGGAGCGGGTGCACCACGCCGCTCTCTGGGGGCCGCGGGCTGCGAGTGTGTCGCAACAGTCGTGGGCTGTGGGAAGGCCCAGCGGAGTGGGTACACCACGGAGACTAAGATTAGGCCTCGCCGCGACTTACTTTAAGGGGGAAAGAAACACACAGACACAATTAATCGTCGATTTCCCAGAAAATATGGGAACATATGGGAAGTGGGGGGGAAGACAAAAACCCAGAACATATAGGAACATATGGGGGATCTTTTTATTTGTGTGTATTTATTTGTGTGCCCCAGGGCCCCTTCATACTTGTGGGCTGCGAACTGAGAAGCGGTCGCCACGGTCGAGCTGCGAAACTGTTGCCATTCTTGTGCGCTGTACGTAGGCCCAGCGGAACATATACACTGCGGGGATTTCGATTATGCCTTCCTCGCAGGAATCAACCGGTCTTTGGAGTCGTGCAGCGCACGAGACTCCCATGCAAACGGCACAACGAATCGCGGACCTTGCCATGCCATCATCCGTGACAATTTCGCTCATTGTTCTGGCTGCTTGTTGCATATGGGTTGGGCTCGTCGCCAAGTGCTTTCCCAACCCTCTGGCGTCGGGGGACCAGCTTGGGATAGAGCACTGCTGGACTCCGTCCCTTTGACCTCCATCCTCCCGCTTCCTCCGACGATCCTGCCTCCGCCCTCCTGCCCGCCCGCCTCGTGCCTCGCTTCCCCTGGGTGATGACAGCCGCGCAACCGTCAAACCTCTCGTGAGCCTCTGGGAAGTCCAGCGAGGGTGCGGGCCTGCGCGCCTCCCAGCGAGACGTCGCCGTGCCTGGGAGCCGTCGGCGGCACGGCCTCGTCGCCACTCTGGTGGGCTCCCGGGAGCTCCGGCAGAGCGACGCGCTGCGCGCACCCAGCTCATGAAGGGGCCCTGGGACACACAAATACACACAACTATGGCAGGATTCCCCATACCTTCTCATCTTTTCTGGGCCTCTGCCTCCCCCCCCACCCCCCACATTTTTCAACCTGTTCCTGGGGATCGACGATTCACTGTGTCTGTGTGTTTTTTCTCCTAGCGTTCCTTTTCCTGTGCAAGCTCCTCAGCACCGCCTGCACCCCGGCCCGCCCTCCGGCCGCCTGAGGCCCCGCCCGCCCGCGCCCTGTCTCCCCAATTAGAGCTTTGCGCGCCCCGCCTAGCTTTTAACCAGAACGAGGCTCGCTCTCGACCCGCAGACCCCCCCCCCCCCAAAACAATATTTTTTTTCCCCTCCTGAGCTCAGACCCGCGCGCTCCCCGGGAGGAGGCTGCCAGCGAGTAGCCGCCGCCACTCCCGCGAGCTCCTGGGAGACCCGGCAGAGCGGCGCGCTCCGCGCGATCGCAGCCCAGACCTCGCGCTCTCTTGGAGCGGTCCCCGTCGGCTGTGCAGCCGCCGCCGCGCTCGCGAGCTCCCGGGAGACGAGGTTGCCGCAGCGTGCAGGTCTGCGCACGTCCAGGCCCAGACATGGTCGCGTCGTGAAAAGAAAAATCAGGGCGGGAGGTTTTTGGCAATTTTCGGCTCTGGGGGGCCCTCGCCAGGCCCCGGGACCGTCAAACAACGACTCAGAACGAAAAACCGGTCCCTGGGAAAGGGTTGGGACTTCCAGGGACGCCGTCCTGAGAAAATCAGGACGCCGCATGTCTGGGGATGCGACCTCGCGCTCCCCGGGGAGGTCTGCCCACTGCGCAGCCGTCGCCACCCGACTGCTGCACCGATCGCCTCCGTGCCTCTGGAGCCTGGTTGCCTGCTCGCTGTCGTTCCTTCGTGCTCTTGACCTCGGCTCTTCGCTCGGCTGTTGTCCCTCCGCCGTGTGTCTTTTGTGGCCCTCGCTCGTTCGTCTCTTCGGGCCCTCGTTCGGTCCCTGCTCGCCTCTGCGCCGGGTGTACGGGAGTTAGCGCTTGACTCTGCACCCACGTCCAAACAAAACAAGCACAGCTGTCGCCGCTGAAGTGAGCTCCAGTCAAGTACAGCAGAGCAATGCGCTGCGCGCACCCAAATTAAACCTCGCGCCCCCTGGGGGGGGGACTGCCAACTGCGCAGCTGTCGCCGCTCTCGTGAGCGCCTGGAGGGCTGCCAACTGCGCAACTGTCGCCCCTTTCGTGAGGTCCTGGGAAGTCCAGCGGAGGGACGCGCTACGCGCACTCAGATTCGGCCTCGCGCTCCCTGTTCGGCAGGGCTGCCAAATGCGCAACTCTCGTCACGTTTGTGAGCTCTTGAGAAGGTGCAGTGCAGCGCGGCGCAGCGAAGCGCGAACCCAGACTAGACTTCGCGCGGCACTGTTACGTGCACGAATCATTCCTCCTGGCTTGTTCCTGTTCTGTGGCTTGCTCATCGTTATCCTTCCGTTTGCGATATGAGTCGCACGGCTACGCGTGCACATGGGGAACCGTGGGTGTGGTCCGAACTTGTTGTTTTGGGCGAAGCGTTCAATGGCACTGCAGACCCCTTAATGGGTTCGTTTGGTTTGAGCGGTCCTGCTCATAGCCGCCTAGTGCTTAGAAAGGAGTGGGGGCGTCCCTTGGCTATTCCTCATACTCGAGCCCTCATGCTCAGAATCAGTCTCCTCCAGACTCAACCCACGCCTGGATACATTCATTGACGAATCCACTCTTTTCTCCACATATATATATATACACCGAATCTCACCTACACTCAGGCCCACAGCCGTTCATATTCTGACTCGCTCAGGCTTGGGCTCGCCCCATACCCACATCCACTAACACTGAGGCCAACTCATTCGTATCCGCTCGTGCTCGGCCAAGCACACCTAGACTCGCTCACGCTCAGACTCGCCCATACCCAGCCGCCCACTGCCGCCCTCCCGTCCTGCTCTCCCCCGTCCCCTTTTCCTTACATAACCCCTTTGTCGCCTGACCACCCGGACGTGTTGATGCGGTCGGAGCGTTTCGCCCGACACCTCCCCCCAATGTATGACCCTGGGGCCCTGAAACCGACAGCGGTCACGCACATGGAGGGAGGATCGTTTTCAAATGACACCCTCGCGACATGACATCATGCACATACCTACAGAGGTACGATGGTGGCCGCGATTTGGGGTCACAATGGGGGGTCAGGACAGGGATATGAATAGGGGTGGGAATATTGAGCAGGGGATCGGGACCTAGGAACGGGATCGGTGTATAGAGTAGGGTCAGCATTGGGTAGGGATAAAGGCAGGGGAATTGGGATACAAGGTCAAGGCATGAATAGGGACATCGGGATCGGGATAAACAAGGATAGGTGTGAAGACAGAGGGATCGGGACGGCAATGGGAGGCCACGGGAGGCAACGGGAGGCCACGTCGCCGAACCGATTCTGGGTCTGGAAATCGGCCTACCACTTGCTGAGAGCAGCTCAACCGAGCCCTTACAACCAAGCTGTTTAGGGAAATGCGGCTCTCGCCTCAACGCCACGCGCATTTCTTACACACATTCGAGAACTACACGGATGTAGAGGTGGTGGTGGTTTTCAAGATCCGACTCTCGCGTTCGCGCCGTACACATTCGTCGTAAACTTCTCCAGTCGCTGCTTTTGCGAAGGGTGTGTGTGTGTGTGTGTGTGTGTGTGTGTGTGTGTGTGTGTTTCGAAGTGTGGCTCTAGCCTCAGCACCCCGACCATTAGTCGTCAAATACGTAGCATCCTGCAGTTGCGGATCAGAATAAAAGGGTGGGCGCGGGAAGGGTTGCGGGTGGGTCGCTGGCGAGTCGCGGGGTGGGTCGACGGTGGGTTGAGGGTGGGTCGCGGGTGGGTCGCGGGTGGGTCGATGTTGGGTCGCGCGTGGGTCGCGGGTGGGTCGCGGGTGGTTCGCGGGCGGGCCGCGGGCCGCGTCGCGGGCGGGTCGCGGATGGGTTGCGGGTGGGTCGCGGGCCGGGTCGCGGGGTGGGCCGCGGGGTGGGTCGCGGGTGAGTCGCGGGTGAGTCGCGGGTGGGTCGCGGGTGAGTCGCGGGTGGGTCGCGGGTGGGTCGCGGGGTGGGTCGTGGGTGGGTCGCGGGCGGGTCGCAAGTGGGTCGCGGGTGGATCGCGGGCGGGTCGCGGGCCGGGTCGCGGGCGTGACGACGACTACAGCAATAAACCATATCAACAACAATCCGCACCGCGGAAGCCCAATTCAGCCACGCACCCAGGGACAGCGAATGACCGTTCGGCCCCCTCACTCTGATATAACATCTAAACGGATGGAGGGGGAGGCGTTTTTTTTAAATGTGGATATCATCGTAGCCCTGCGCATCTTCGTTTCAAGCGCTTCCAGTAACTGCGCGGACGGAGGACAGTTCCTTTCGAACGGTGTCTTTCTCTGAAAACTTCACTGCACGCGATGAGAAAACTCTCATGCTGTGCCAAACAACTGCACGGGTGGGGGGCGCCTCTTTTTCAGATCGTGGCGGTCGATTGAGACGTCCTGCGGTTTTGAGGACCAAGCGTGCAGCATATATGCTAACACTCGCACGGGTTTGGGGTGGCCCTTCTTCAAAGAAGGGCTCTCGCTGGACATTCCCTCGAACTTATGTTCCTGCCTCGTCGCCGTCCTTATCAGCTCGAAGCATGGGTGGCAACTATTACTCAAAACGGGGCTCTCGCCTGAGTTACAATACCCTGAGGACCTCGTGTTTCAAAGGGGCATTTCCCGCAGTGCGAAAGAAGTCTTGCAGGGGCTTATGGGGAGGGGGACTGGGACAAGCGGGCATATTGCAGCATCGCTGATGCATCTTGGATTTGCTCTGGTCCTGTTCCCCCCCCTTCTCCTGGAGGAGGGGTAACATGGGGAGAAATATAAGAAACGCGGGAAATGCCTGATGAAAAGGATCCTCGAGATGTCATCGTGCCCGACGCACCAGCCGTTGAAGGGCCTCTCGTCGTTGCACATCATGAAGCCAATAATGCCCTGTGACCTGATCTTGTCCACAGGCATCTTTCTGTGCTTCTCGGCCTCCGGGATGACAACATCCCCTGGCTCAAGCTGCTTCCTTTTGGGATGGTACCACACCTTCCACTCTTCCGGCGAGGCTGGGTCGTCTGGGGCGTCGTCCTGACTCCGCACAGTCCCAGGGGCCGACGAGGGCGCGAGGAGCGGCGTCGGCTGGATGTTCCAACTCTGGGATATGTCGTCCTTGTACAAATAGCGGATCTGCGGTACCTTGCTGGTCCCGTAGAAGACGCCCTCAACCTCCACAGTCTTCACCATCTTGTACAGCACGTGGCCGAATGACTTGGAGCACTTGAAATACACGCCGTTGACGACGGCGTTATCGCCTGTACCACCCGAGAACAAGACGTCCTCCTGGTAGATCTCGTCATCCGTCGGCTCCCGCATCAGCGTCTTCGATTCGCCATCAAGGATCGCCTGCTGGATCTTGGTTGCGTGGTTGATTCGCAAGGCCCTGACGTCCTCGTGGCTTACCATGTTCTCGAAATCATGCCGGCTGTAAGAGTCCATGCTGACCAACTTCTGCCGAGACCCTCCAAGATAGTTCACCTGGTGCGATTTCCCTCGTCGCTTCTGCTTGCGACGCCGGCTCTTTTTGAAGAAAATCTGCCACCCCCTCGTCTGTTCGAAGTATGTCGCTGGAGGCCCGTGGTCAGTGAATGGCAGCAGACATTTGCCCTCGGAGTACAGCACGTTCTCGTAGATCGTGTCCTTATCCTCCACGACCCCGCAGCCATGCATCTTGTCGTTTTTCCAATTCTTCACCGTCGTTCTGTCGAGGAGGGGCCCGAACGTCCACGAACCGTCCTGCTTCCTCCACGTGCCCCGGCCGTCGCGCTTGCCATCAACGAACTGGCCGTAGTAGACGCCCCCTCCCTTGTGGTTGAAGTACTGCACAGCCGTTCCGTGTGGCAGGTTGTTCTTCCACTGCCCCGTGTAAGCCATGTACTTCAACGTCTGGATGCCGTCGTGGCATGCGAGCACGCCCTGGCACTTTTTGCACGACGGGTGCTCCAACGTGTACGGCCGGCCAAGATCCACGCACTTCATGAACTCTGGGTCAAGCTCCGCTGCCTCGGAGTAGAGGGTGCCATGGCCTTGCAGCTTGCCCTGGGAAGTCAGGCAGCCGTAGTAGAAGCGGCCGCGGGTAAGATCGTCTGGATCGCTGAGTCGAACCCACGCCGGGTACTTCGTGGCCTCGACATCGTCCTGTTTGAAATAGCCGTTGTACTGGATCGCCAGGTAATGGCCCGGGGGCACCAGGTCTTGCAAATCAGGCGGGACGGGCGGCATCTCCTCTTCTGGCTGGCCTTCCCGCATTGACTTCCTGATCTGCGACTTGGATATTCTTTTGCTCCTCCCAACGGCAAGTGTGCCCGCCGAAGGACCATCCACCGCGCCCGTCGTGGCGCTCCCAGCGGAGGCCTCGGAGGTTTGCCCCCGTGCGGGTGCCTCCCCACCTTTCCTCCAGAGACCTCTCGAGGAGCTCCTGGGGGCGGCGACATTGTCCGAGCTCTTGGCCGTTTCGGCGGATGCCGTGGGCGTGATTGACTTGACCGTTTCGCCGGATGCCGCGGGTGCTAGGGCCTTCGTCGTCACCTGGGACTCCGTCCTTCGTCTTGGCGATTTGGATGCTTCCGTCGACGTGGATGCTCGGCCGAAGCGGGATGCCCTCGGCTTGGGCGATGCGCCCCCATCTTCGTTCGTGCTCCGCTTGTTGCGTCGTCCCGAGTCCGGCTGCCACTTCTTGACCGCGTACAGCTTGCCGCGGCCAGATCTCAGGTTGTCCTCGAACTCGCCCTGGTATCCGCCTGCACCCTCCTTGCAGGGGGCCGTCGGGCTGTGAAGCTCGAGCTGTAATAGCTGTGCAGCTGAGAGCTCACCAGCGCGGGGGGTAGGAAATCGCAACGCTGCGGCATCCCGAAGGGCTCCCCGACGCGGGAATCGTGATTTGCCAGACGCCCGTCCTCATGGCACTGAGCTGGTCGGTTCCTCTGGCTGTGTGATTCCAGATTTCCAAGAACGTGCGCGACCCCTCCGGCCTCCAGGCCTGTTAGCATTGCCTCCCCGCCTCCGAATGTCCTCAGTTCACGGACGCCTTTGGGACAAGTGCAATCCTATTTGGGGCACATCGGGAAGCGCTGCTGCTCGAACCGATTGCTGCTGAGGCTGCCGATTGCCGCTGCCCTCTGCTGCTGGATGCTGCTTCATGCTGCTTGCCGCCGCCTTGTGCTGCGCGCTTTTTCTCTCTTGCCCTGCGTACTGGTGATTCTACTCCTCCTCCTGCTCCTCCTCCTCGTCCTTCTCCTCCTCCTTCTCCTTCTCCTTCTCCTCCTCCTCCTCCTCGTTTTTCTTCTCCTCCTCCTTCTCCTTCTCCTCGTCGCCTCGGAGGGGCACCCCCACAAGTGGGGTGTCGGGCCAAAGCGCCCCCTGGCGGAGGCGGGGACCTCTGGGCCTTCGGGGCACAAGCCCCCGCACCTGGGATGGCTCCCAAAGCGAGGTCCCCTTCCCAGGGGGCCCCCGGCCACGCAGTCTCCCACGGAAGCCTGGCTTCCCAGCCAGGTGTCCCCTGTGGGAGTCGTGTGCCAGGGGCTCCGTCTCCCCCCCGTCGTGTCGTCGCCGTCGCTGCCGCGCCTGTCGTGTCGTGGCGGGCCCCTGGGGTGGGTGGCGGGGGTTTGGTGCTGCCTGGCCCCTGCCCGTTCTGTCGGTGGTGGGGTGCCTCCGGCCGGCAGAACGGGTCGGGGAAGCTGGCTTGCCATTCCCATGCCGACCGCTTGCGGGAGGCCCGCCCACGCCGTGAGCGCCCGGCGGCCCGCGGCGCGCCGCGGCCGTGGCGGCGGGGGCGGCGCCCCTGGGCATGCTCGCCCGCGCCATGTTCGGCGTACGTTCTACCCCTTGCGGGAAAAAAAAACTCCTCCTCGTCCTCGTCTTCCCTCCTCCTCCTTCGCCTCCTCCTCTTCGTCCTTCTCCTCCTCCTTCTCTTCTCTCTGCCTCCTCCCTGATTCCCTTCGCACCTCGCTCGTTCGCTCCTCCTCTTTCCGCCCTGCTGCTCCTCATTCTATCCTCCTCCACGCTCCTCTTCGTCCTCCATTCCTTCTCCTTATAGGTAACTCCTCCCTGTTGCACCCCGAGGCCAGTTTTTAGGGCGGGCCGGGCGTTTCGCCTGAGACTTCCTCACCATTTATGACTCTGGAGCTTAAACAATGACAGTCGTTTCACAGATGGAGGGCGGGTCGTTTTCAACATGTGGCTCTCGCCCAAGCGCCGCGCACAAACGTTGTAACAAATTGCATCAGTTTCACTGATTGAGGGCGGGCTGTTTTCAAAATGTGGCTCTCGCCCAAGCGCCGCGCACATTCGTTTCAAATACTTGCAGAAATTTCACGGATTGAAGGCGGGTTGTTTTCAAAATGTGGCTCTCGCCTTAGCGCCGCGCTCATTCGTTTTAAAACTTTGCAAGAGCTTCACGGATTGAGGGCGGGTCGTTTAAAAAATGTGGTTCTCGCCTTAGCGCCGCGCACATTCGTTGTAACAAATCGCGAGAGCTTCACGGATTGATGGCGGGTCGTTTTCAAAATGTGGCTCTCGCATCAGCGCCGCGCACATTCGCTTTAAGCACTTGCAAGAGTTATGCAGATTGAGGGCGGGTCGTTTTCAAAATGTGGCTCTCGCATTAGCGCCGCGCACATTCGGCGCAAAACATTGCAAGCGTTTCACGGATTGAGGGCGGTTCCTTTTCAAATTGTGGCTCTCGCTTTAGCGCCGCGCACATTCGTTTCACACATTTGCAGGAGTTTCACGGATTCCCGTGACCAACGTACCAAAAATTGTGTTTTGGAAAGAATCAAGATTATGCGGGCGCAGCATTTATGTTGATTCGCTGTGTTGAAGTCCCCAAAATGGCGTCCTGGCGCGATGCTGGATCGCCAGAACGCAGCAGCCAAGTTGATACGTGGCGTTGAATCCCGAGAACAATGTTTCGGCATCCTTCAGGATCTTCAAACTGTTGTCTTCCAACGAAGCAGTTCCCTCAATGGAAATGAACCGTTGTAGGGGCCTCTGAAGAGGGAGCTTGGAGGGAGGTTTAATTCCAACATCGTTGATGACGCTTGGATTTACACTGGTCCTCCTCCTCCTCCTCGTTCTGCTCGCTCATCCCCCCTCTGCGCGGTCTCGTCCTCCTTACTCAGTCCCCTCGTCGCTCATCCTTCCTGTGGCTGTCGGGCTCCTCCTCACCACCACCAGCTCTTTGCTTCTGATGACTGCTCCTTTTCGCTTCGGCTTACTCCTCGTCTCACATCTTCAACTAGATCGTGACGTTCCTCTTTGCTCCTGCTGCTCATCCTCCTCAATGCTCCTCTTTACTCGTTCTGTTTCTCGCTCTTCGCTCTTCTTTCTTCGTCTCCTTTTCACTTCGGTAGTCGCTCCTTCCTTTTCACCCTCGCTCCTTCATGTTTTTCATTCTTACTCCTCGTTCCGTTTCCTCATCCTCCTTGCCCCTCATCATCACTCCTTCTTTTTCTCCCTTATCGCTCCTCCTCCGTACTACTGGTCTTTCTCGCTCTTCCTCGTGCTGCTCATTCTCCTCCTCCCCCTCATTTTCATATCCTCCTCTCCTCGTCCTTCTTCTCTACGTCCTTTCCCATCGTCTTCTTTGGGTTGCTCATTCTCGCTCCTCTTCTCCTCCTCTGTTGGTGTCTCTTGGAATCCTATTGGAGGCCTCTTGGAGCCATTCTTGGGCTTTCTCGGGGGCCTGTTGGCATCCTCTTGGGCCTCTTCGACCCCTCCTGGAACCCAGGAGTGGCAATGATACAACACCGACTGCTTCGATGTCTTCGTTTTGGGAAGATGTCTCTCGCGAACCGGCTGTTTGCGAATGGACCCAAGGAGTGTCCCTTTGGCATCAGCGAGCGGATCTGCCCTCTCAAGCTTGTCTCGCCTTTCATCCAAAACGAGCACCGTTTCGCGCTTCCCGCTGCACGAGATATCCGCGCTCCCGAGGTCACGACCTCTTGTATACCCTGGCTCTGAGCTCACGAGGACACGACCCGTCGTGAGAACAGCTATCCCGACGAACTGCCCAAGCATGCGAGGAGTACGAAGGTGGGTGTGGGGAGATACCACATGCTGGCGCTGTCACCAAGGCTTTCGAGGACCATATGGGGGGCCGCGGAACGTGCGAGGGGTGTGCGAAACTGGTGGGGTGTGGTGCGTACCGCATGCGGGCTGCCAGGGGGGCCGCTGGTGGAGTTCCCGTAATGTCACGAAGCGTGTGAGGGGTGTGCGAACATGTGTGTGTGAGTGTGTGTGTGTGTGTGCGTGTGGGGGCATTGCGGCTTCATTCGCAACTGTATGCCCTACATTTGCCCCATTCGCCAGCGCAGTCACTCTGCCTAGCCGCCGACGCAAATGTGTGTGTGTGTGGATACCGCATACGGGCGCTGCCACTAAGGCCTTCGGTGCCCCCCATGAGCCACGAAACGTGTGAGCCGGGTGGCGAACCGGTGATTCGGACGAAGATGGTCGTGCTGATGAAGGTGGTGCTGGGCATGAGGATGCAGATACGGATGAGGATGCTGATGATGCTGATGAGGATGCTGCTGCTGCTGGTAATGCTGCTGAGTATGCTTATGCTTATGATGCTAACGATGACGATGACGATGATGATGATGCTGCTGATGATGCAGATGATGCTGGTTATGGTGATGATGATGATAATGAGGATGATGATGCTGTTGATGATGATGAGGATGATGATGGTGCTGATGACGATGACGATGACGATGACGATGACGATGACCATGATGATGATGATGATGATGATGATGATGATGATGATGATGATGATGATGATGATGATGATATGATGATGATGATGATGATGATGATGATGATGATGATGATGATGATGATGATGGTAGTGGTGATGATGATGATGATGATGATGATGATGATGATGATGATGATGATGAATCTGAATGTGATGATGATGCTGATGACGATGATGATGATGGGGAGGAGGACTAGGATGATGAGAAGGAGGAGGAGGAAGAGGGCGAGGGGGAGGAGGAGGAGGAGGAGGAGGAGGAGGAGGAGGAGGAGGAGGAGGAGGAGGGGGCGGAGGGGGAGGAGGAGGAGGGTGCGAGTGATGCTAACTAAACGAAGGGAGGCGAGCCCAACACCCCATGATGATTGGGAACAACAATGGGCCCGCGCCTTCGACGCCACGATTCGTTGTACACACCTTTGATCCGCACCCTCTGGGCCACGATCCCTTGCAACAGAACGATCGGCCCGCGCCGTCGGGGCCTCGAACAGAAGAGAAGGAACGGCGCCATCGAGACCACGATCCCCTGGCCCGCGCCTCCGAACCCGCATGCCACCCAACCGACCTCACAACCGGCCAGCATGCCTGTCAACCGGCCCGGCGGCCAACCAACACCGACTGTGGCAGGAGGAGGAGGACGAACCAGAGGAGGAGGGGGAGGAGGAAGAGGAGGAGCAAGAGAAGCAGCAACTTTAATGCCGGAGGAGGTGGAGGAGGAAGAGGAGAAGGAGCAAGAGGAGGAGACGTTGGAGGCCCAGGTCCGGCATGCCGCCAGCGGGAGCTCCCCTGCCAACAGCCAGCTGACTTGGCTGCTGGCCTGCCCATCAACCCGCCACTCCTCCTCCTCCTCCTCCTCCTTCTCCTCCTCGTCCTCCTCGTCGTCCTCCTCCTCCTTCTCCTCCTTCGCCTCCCCGTCCTCCTCCTCGTCCTTCTCCTCCTCGATTCGTTGTGCCGACGCCCCGCCGCCACGCAGGCACTCAGGAGGGGGGTCGGGGGCATGCGGCATGGGGCAAGGCCCTCCAGATATGTTGGTGTCGTCAGCGAACAGCATCACGCCCTCCCCGTGGCGCACGTTGTTTTCCCACTGCCCACTGTACCTGGAGTACCCGTACTCCTTCTGCAGCCGCGGCTTCAACCTCTGGGTGCCCTCGCCGCTGCGGCCGCCGCGGTCCCACTGGCCCTTGTAGACCATCCCGTCCGAGCTGATGTACTTGCCGTCGCCACACATGGTCCCCTCCGACCACTGGCCCCTGTACTCGGCCAGCCCGTGCCGCATCAGACCCTCGCCGTGTGGCACGGCATGGTCGAATTGTCCGTTGTAGGTGGTGCCGTCCACGTACGTGGCCTTGCCGTGCTTTATATGCCGCGTGTCACCGCCGACCATACGGTAGGCCGCGACGGCCAGGTCAGGCATCGGCTCTCCCGACTCCTGAAGCACAGAGTCGCCAACGGCAACGTACTTGGTGAAGAGATCAGTCTTCTGCTTCTGGTCCTGCTTGGTGAGCTTCTCGATGTTGAGGTCTTTGATCACTTTGCCGTCGCCGTCAGTGGGGAACGTACGCATCGCGATTGGGTGATTTCTCGCCGCCCAGTCGAAAGTGTCGTGGTAGTCGGACTTGAAGACGCCGTGGAAGTCGGTCAAATGCGACGGGTCGACCGAGAAGAGGGGCATGTACCCCAAATGCGCCATCTCAAGCTCCTTGCTTACCTCGTTCGTGCAGACTTCGATTGGGGTCTTCAATGTCAAATACCCCTCGCCATAAAACAAATCGTCCCTGAACTGTCCGTCGTATGTCTTCTCGATGCCAAACTTCCGGCCCACCTCCTCCGCATCATGCCCAATCTTGTCGGTTACCGCGTGCTGATAGAAACGCAAGAGGCCCTCGCCGTTGCGCTTTCCGCGTTTCCACTGGCCCTGGTACAAGGGGTCTGCAAGCCCTTGCAAAGCATGCATCCTGCTTCCATAAAGCTTCCCGCTGCCATGGTACTGGTGGTCAGCCCACGTCCCGACGTAGTAGGTCCCGTTGGGCCACGCCTGAGTTCCGAAACCATGGCGCATGTACACTCCAGCGAGGTTGGTGTGGTCCTTGTACTCTCCCTGATAGTGGCGCACCCACTCCTGAGGGCGCAGCATCGCGCTGTCCGACAGGACGGAGCGCCAGACGGCGAACTGCGCGTCGTGCATGCAGACCTCAAGGTACTCCTTGTTGTGCTGCGGCCGCCAGTCAGGGTCGATGTACTTCTTGAGCTCTGCCCAGGGCGTATCCTTCCCATCGCCGTCCTCCAAGACGCTCTCGAACTCGGGCTTGGCGAGGACCCGCACCATCTGCATCCGCATCACGCCGATCTTCCTGTTGCCCTGCAGCTGAAACTCCTTGATGTGGGACAGGGGGACGCGAAACTTCAGCAGGCTCTTGTCGACTGCCTCGTAGGACTCCCCAGTGCTCGGGACGAGTTCGTTCCTCGAGAGCTCGCCGTTCTCATGCGCGTCCAGCCAGCTCCACAGCTTCTCGGCCTCCGCGTGGACGTCGACCTCAGTGCTGTCGCCATGGCCTCCTCCGCCTCCCTTCACCGCCGCCGCCAGGAAGTCGTGCATGAGGTACCTCGGCTTCTCGGTGATGGCAGTGATGAACTGCTTCTTGTCCACAGACATGCCCTCGCTAAGGTCGGCCCAGAAATTTGCCAAGCCCGTTTTTCGCCCCCTGTATCTGGGATGGTGGGCCAGGAACCTCCGAAATTGCATCAAATCGCCGTCCTCCAGGACCTCGTCAGTCTCGTAGAGCGGCTCGATCTCGAAGATGGTGATAGTGCCGCTATCATCGTCATCCAGAGCGTTAGCAATCTTGTGCCCTTGGGCGGCCAGACTGCCCGCCACTGCCTGGGCTTTATCCAAGTATTGTCTCACAATCCGCCTTTGGTTGTCATCCCAACGGTCATCAATGGCTGTCCAGGTCGTGTGTTCGTCTTCCCCTTTCGAAAGGAAGCTTTGCCTGGAACCCAAGAATTGTTTCGGTAGGTTTGGGAGCATGAGGCCCTGGACCTCACCAGCCATCCAGACATGGCAGCTGCCCAGAAATCACTCCCCAAACTTGCAGTACATCGAAATCTGGGTGAATCAGCCCGAGGACATGCTGCCAGCGTGGTCCCCGAACAATGCGTGATTGCACTGTGGATGTTAGTCAGAACTAATTAGTGCAGTCTGTGTGGCGCAATATCCGCCGCCGTGTCAGGAAACGCGGAGTGAGGTGTTCGCAGATCCCGTAGAACCCTCCGCAAAAGAAAAATCCATACCTATACGACCACCCTTCGTGTGATAAGGAGGTTCGGAGGGGGTGGTGGTGGAGGAACCAACGTCTCACACAATCGATCTCACTATCGATCCCACTATCGATATTACTACCGATCCCACAATCGATGCCACTATCGATCTCACTATCGGTCTCATTGCATATGTACATATATCGGAGGTTGGGGGTGAGATCGCAGTGGAACGGAGACCCCCAACTGGGAAATCGTTTCGTTTCGCTCGTGTCGTGCGTGCGGGCGAGGCGAAGCTGAGTGGGCGCGCGAGATGAATGAACCCGCCGTTGCTAGGCCGAAGTCAAGTCAAATGATTCTCCCCCTCCCGCCCGTCCGGCGGTGGCCGGCGGTGTCCCGCGGTGTCCCGTGGTGTCCCGTGATGTCCCGTGGTGTCCGCCGTTGCTAGGGCGAAGTCAAGACAAACGATTCTCCCCCTCCCGCCCGTCCTGCAGTGGCTCGCGGTGTCCCGCAGTGTCCCGTGGTGGCCCGCGGTGTCCCGTGGTGTCCCGCCGTTGCTAGGGCGAAGTCAAGACAAATGATTCTCCCCCTCCCGCCCGTCTGGCGGTGGCTCGCGGTGTCCCACGGTGTCCCGTGGTGTCCCGCGGTGTCCCGTGGTGTCTCGTGGTGTCCTGTGGTGTCACGTTGAGTGAGATCGATAGTGAGATCGATAGTGAGATCGATGTGGTGTTCCAAGGTGTTCCAAAAAATGAGATCGACAATGAGATCGACAAGGTTCCCGTGGTGTCCCGTGGTGTCCTGTGGTGTCCCGCTGAGTGAGATCGACAATGAGACCGATAGTGAGATCGATAGTGAGATCGATGTGGTGTCCCGAGGTGTCCCGTGGTGTCCTATGGTGTCCCGTTGAATGAGATCGATAATGAGACTGATAGTGACATCGAGAGGTGTCCCGCGGTGTCCCGTGGTGTCCCGTTGAGTGAGATCGATAGTGAGATCGACAAGTGTCCCGTGGTGTCCCGTGTTGTCCGGTTGAGTGAGATCGATAGTGAGATCGATTGAGTCAGATGTTGGTTTCCCCCTCTCCCTCCCCCACAACCTCCTTATCACCCGAAGGGTGGTCGTATAGGTATACATATCGTGATATTGGTCTCACTATCGGTCTCACTATCGATCTCACTAGCAATCTCACGATCGATTTCACTCGATCGATGACACTATCGTTCTCGCAATCGATCTCATTATCCCTCCTACTAGCTGCCTCAATATCGATCTCACTATCGACCTTACTATCGATCGCACTGTCGATCTTACTACCGATCTCACGATCGATATCAGTATCGACCTCAATATCGATCTCAGTATCGATCTCACTATCGATCTCACTGTCGATACCACGATCGAGCTCACTGTTGGTCTCGCGCTGTCGATGTCGCTGTCGATCTCACTGCGAGGCGACGGGACACCGGCGGAACATCCTCCTCCTCCTCCTCCTGCTCCTCCTGCTCCTCCTCCTCCTCCTCCTGCTCCTCCTCCTCCTCCTCCTCCTGCTCCTCCTCCTCCTCCTCCTCCTCCTGCTCCTCCTCCTCCTCCTCCTGCTCCTGCTCCTCCTCCTCCTCCTCCTCCTCCTCCTCCTCCTCCTCCTCCTCCTCCTCCTCCAGAGGAGGCTTCGTTCCTCGCGCCGCCCGCGCTGCTTCGCCTGGCCCGCGCGGCGCGGCGCGACCGCGGCGCCGGGGCCGACTTTCCCTCGTGGCGGCGCTGCGTTTCGCTGCGGTCTTAACCGGCCTCGAACGCATCCCTAAGGCCCTAAGATGGGCGAGCAAAATGCGAGGACAATCTCAGGGGTAGGCCGTCAAAAACTGAGGGAATCCTTAAGATCGGCATCGAGGCGAGGTGATGTCAAACACAGGGATAGGGATATGTTCAAGGCTGGTAAGATCTCACCCTCTCGCCTCGAATTCTTTCGAGGGTCCACAGCCGCGAGTATGGGTCTCGGCGCGAGCTGCCGAGAAAATTTTGAGACGGCCCAGGGCCCCCAAGACACTCCAAGAGGGTTCCAAGAGGTTCCCAGGAGGCAGACCTTGTTTGTACTCCTTCGGCTTTCAGCGGACTTCAGAGTTCTCGCCTTCTTGGGGCTTCCGATGCTCCCGGGCGGCCCGGGGGGTCCCAGATATCGCTCCAAGACAATCCAGAAGGCCCCCCAAGAGGGCCTCCAGACAGGTTGAGGAGGAGGAGGAGGAGGAGGAGGAGGAGGAGGAGGAGGAGGAGGAGGAGGAGGAGGAGGGGGAGGGAGGAGGAGGAGGAGGAGGAGTAGGAGGAGGAGGAGGAGGAGGAGGAGGAGGAGGAGGAGGAGGAGGAGGAGGAGGAGGAGGAGGAGGAGGAGGAGAGGAGGGAGGAGAGGCAAGCTGGGCGCGCGCTCCATATCTGGCATCCTACCCCTCCCCACCCATCCCTTCCCATTGCGCTGGGTGTCCAACCCTCCTTGGCTGGGTTCTGTTTTGCGCTGGTCGCGCGTCTCCTCATCCTCCCTCCTCCTCCTCCTCCTCCTCCCCCCGCCTCAGAGAACCGAGACCCCCCCCCCCAAACCGGCTCAGGATACGCCCCGAGAGAGCTTCCAGAAGGGAAAACACGGCCCGACATGTCGGGCCCTCCGCTCCAAGATCAACCCCCGAGACCGACAGCAGTTTCCCGAGAGGACCCCCAGAAGCCCCAGGAGGCCCTAATCAGGTCCCAAGCTCGCCATCGCTCGGACGTCCATTCCCCTTGCATGTTTCGATCGCGAGCGTAGTTTTTTTGGCCAGATGATCCAGGATGCTCTTCGATGGTCCTCGTCGAGAAACCTGATATTGCCACGGAACCCGACCTTGGAGGACAAGTGGGCGTGACTTGCGAGGAAAAGAAAAACAAAGAAGATGATGCCTATACGGCGCATGATGCTGATTCCAATGTTGTCCGTTTGGCGCTGCGCCGCTTTAAAGCGCATTATGCTGGCTCCCGTGTTGTCCGTTTGAAGCTGTGCCACTTTGTCGGGGCGTCTCCGACCATCTTTGAGCCCTGTTGGGCAGCCTTCGGGACCTCGGGCGCGGCCATCTCGGGGCCCTCTTAGGCAGTCCTTGGCCCCCTTGGGGGCCTCTGGGGGCTTCCTGGAAATCTCTTGGAGGCTTCTTGGGGCCTCTTGGGGGCCTCTTGGGGCCTCCTGGGAGGTTCTTTAGGCGGAGAGCTTACAATGTCAGTCCCTGCCGCCCCTCTGGGGCCCCTCTTGGGGCGTTCCTGGGGCCTTCTTAGGCCGCCTTGGAGGCTTTGTGGGCCGTCTTGGGGGCGTCCTGGGCCGCTTGGGCGCTTTTTTTGGGGCGTCTCAGGCCGTCTTGGGGCGATCTGTAGAGCCTCTTGGGCCGTCTTGGAGCGTCGGGAAGCCAAAAAGGCGAAACACCTTGAAAAACCAAAGGAACATCAATGAATGTTGACTCTTGGGGCTGTTTGTGGGGGCCTCTTGGAGGCCTCCCTGGGCGTCTGGGGGGGCTTCTTGGGCCATCTTGAGGTCATCTTGGGCGTCTTGGACAAGTCTTTCGGCGACTCGTGGCCCTCTTGGACCATCTTGCGGACCATCTTGGGGCCGCCCGTGCCGCACGGAAGCGCGCCTGCCGACATGGGGCCGTCTTCCGCCGGCGTTTGCCGCGTGGCCGGGGCCGGGGTACCCCCCCAGACCCCCCAAGGGAACACACAACGGGAACCCCTCCGCAAGGTCGGGGAAACTGCACACGTTCGCGCGATGCCAAGCAAGAGGCCCCCTGGAGGCCCCCGAGAGACTTCCAAGACATACCAAAACCGCCTCAACGAGGCTTCCGAGAAGCCTCACGAAGGCCCCGAGAGGCCCCCTGAAGCGGCCTCCGAAGGCCAGCGGGTTCCACAGAGGCCCCACGAGGTCCTCAGAAGCCCTCAAGAGGCCCGCGAGAGGCCCCTGGAGGCCCTCCTCCTCCTCCTCCTCCCTCTCCTCCCTCACTTCCTCCAACAACTGCTTCCTCCCGAAGGTTTCCGCAACGGTTGAGGGAGCACGTAGTCCAGTAGCCTTGTACGAACTCGGCCCAACATGTGGCCACGTATGCATTTTCAACAGGGGGGCGGTGGTTCGCCGTAGGCGTCTTCGAGCTGTGGCGTAGTCTATGTGGTGCAAGCTCGGTGGTGCAGCATAGTATGTTGTGCAATCTGTGTTCTGTAACATATGAATGCAATATATGCGGTGAATGCTATGTGGTACAAGTCGTGTTGTGCAATCCATGTGTTTCAACCGATGTGTTGCAAACTATATGGTGTGTGCTGTGTGGTGCAAGCTATGTGATGACATCTGTGTGATACAGCCTATCTGGTACAGGCTTTCGCCCCCCAAAGAACAAACCAACGATGCCCCACCACATGGACTAGGCAAAATCACCTGAGGGCCAACCTGCAACAGGCGAGCCAGCACGCGAGGCCTTGGCCATTGCAGATCAACCAAAACGGGCGCGGTCACGGCAACACAGCGGGATTGTCCTGCGCATGCGGCTGGGAAGCGGAGTCCGGATCCCGTGCCTGAGCGCCGTGCCTCGGAAGGTAGACCCGCACGACGCGGAGGACCTCAACGGAGGAGGAAGGAGAAGGCACAAAGGACGAGCAAGATGCATGAATCTGCTCGGTGCAAGCTACCGTGTCAAGCCGCACCCAGGGGAGAAAGCGAGATGAGCAGTGGCAAGGAGTCCTCCCTGAGCTGCTCGGATCTGGAAGCTTCGGCAGCCTCCACGCCAGCTCGGCATGCTCCGAACCGCACAGTGGGGAGGAGAGACAGAGGAGCCACGCCGCCCAGCAAGAACACGCGCTCGAGTCGTGCACCCGAAAAAGAACAGTGGCCCCGACACGCGTCCGAGGATGAACCGTTCGAGAGGCCGATGCGCGAGCAAGGGCACCGACACGAACCCCTCGTCATCATATCCGCGCCGCGTGCAGAGCATGAGTCAGGACGGGCAAGAGGGCCATGCTTTTGCGAGCCATGTGCTGCACTGTGTGCATTGTCGTTTACGCGGCGCAAGCATGCTATTGGTGCAAGCTTTGTGGTGGAATCTTCGGGATGCCACGCTACGTGATGCTATCTGTATGGTGCACGCTATGCGTTGAGGCTATGTGATGCTTTCTGTGTATGTCTCTGTGTGTGTGGCACCAGTGCAGGTAGCGCAAGCAGTGCGTTGCAAGCTGTGTGGTGCAAGCTATGTGATGCAGTCTATGCAGTGCAAGCTGGGTGCTGCGTGCTCTGCGGTGCACCCGGCGCGCGAGGAGGCCCACGACGCGCCGGCGGGCGGGCAGCGGACGAAGCTCCGCCACACCAGCCCAGAGAGCACGGGGCGCCCACGAGGCGCCCACCCACGGGCGGGCACCCGGCGGAACCCGAGCAGGCCCACCCAACGCACGAGCGGCCACCGACCGAGCGTCGGGCGAAACCCCAGCAGACCAATCCGAGTTTAAACTTCTACAGTCGGGGCGTTGACCTAAGGAACCCTAAATAAGGAACGAGGCCCCCTTTTTTCCATAAGTTAAAGTTCGATTTCCCATCGAAAACCTAAGGCAAGCTGTGGAACAATCAAGGACCGCGGAGCCCCTCCCCAACGAAAAGGGTTCCTTGCTCAGGGCCCCGACTGTAGTCCCTCAGTTCAAGCGCTGTCTGGGGGAAAATCGAGGAGGCAAAACTTAGCACCTTTCGCACTCGAGGTAGACTCCTCCACCTCCGCTGCAGCCTCAGCCTGTGTCAAAGTCAGTAAGGAACCTATACCAAACGAACTGCCAATGACCATGGACGCCGACGCATCTGGTGAAATGCGGGGATCCTCTGCTGCTTCTTCTTCATCTTCTGAATCTTCATCTTCTCCCTCGACGGCAAATCGAGCAGCCTCGTCAAGTTCCCATAACTTCTTCCTCGTGTCCTCGAGCAACGCCGACAAATTACGCGTGAATAAATTCTTGCTCAATTCAGACGCCCGCGTGAGGAACTCCCACGCGCAATTGTAACTAGAAAACTCCTTGAGCAGGAACTTCCTGAAAGTGACGAGGTGCTCAATGTTAAAATCCTTCCATGAAAGCGTTAAGAAGGATGCGTCGAGGCCCACAATGCAATCCTTCGTCTTCGGCTCACTGAATTTTCGCTGACCCGTCAAGAACAAATCCTTGAGCTCTTTGGAAATCCGCCAGCTCGCTTATGGGGCCACCAGTCCGCGAAGCCTGGGTTGCGCAGTAGCAGCAGTTCAGCGTCAGAGTACTTCTTCAATGCTAATTGTATCGGCAAGGTCTTCTGATGCACTCGGCATATGGAAGGACGCTGGCATTGATACGCATTGCTGAACCGCCTCCCACCCCCCAAAGCCCGAGATAGACATGTCTAGCGCCCCCGGACTGGGTGCGTGCTCTTAGTCTCCCGGGGGAACACACAAACGTGTCAACAGTTACTGTACCGAGCTTTCTCAATTTCTGTTTGTCCAAAGGCGTGCGTAAATAATGTCCCTGTAGGAAGGCTTTTCTGGACCATTCGCTCCCCCTGAAGACGTGTGGCCTAGGCGTGGCATTTGGCGCGGTCGGCGTGGGTATGCGCTGGCGGGCGGATCACGCAGGAAGGGAAGAGGTCGGGGGGAGGGGGCAGCAGCAATAGCAACCATTTGTGACCATCATGCTCAATGTTTTCAATCCCCCCTTTCTCACCATGATGCTCTCTGTTTTTGTGTAGAGGGAACCATCTTCCCCAAACAATGCTTGCACTTAGGGTTTCTGGCTTCTGTTCTACGGAAGTGGGCCCTGTCTTCGGTCCTGCGGCCAGGTGGTCGCTGTCGCCGCCCCATCGCTGCCTGTCGTCTGGGCCGTGTCTTCGGTCCTGCGGCTATGTGGCCGCCCATTCGCCGCCATCCTGGATTCTCTTTTCCACCTGATATTGTCACGAACCCCGACCTTGGAGGACAAGTGGGCGTGAATTGCGAGACAGAGAAAACGAAGAAGAGGATGCCTATAGGACGCATTCTGCTGGTTCCCGTGTTGTCCGTTTGACGCTGTGCCGCTTTGTCGAGGCGCCTCCAGCCGTCGTGGGGCCCTCTTAGGGCTGTCCCGAGGCCCTGTTGGGCGCTTCTGGGGGCTTGCTCGAGACCTCCTAAGGTGAGCTCAGGAAATTGCCATACGAGCTAGGACGTCTCGGGGCTGTCCGTTTGTCGCTGTGAGGCTTTGTCGAGGCATTTCCAACAGTCCTGGAGTCGTGGGGCAGTCCTGGGGCCCTCGTGGGCGCTTCTGGGGGCTTCCTAGAGGCGTGGTGAGGTCTTGATGCTTGTTGGGGTCGTCTTGGGAGCCTCTTGGGGCCTCCTCAGGTCCTTCAGCCGTCCTGGCGCCCTCCTGAGGGAGTCCTCGGGCTGTCCGATTGTCGCTCTGACGCTTTGCCGAGGCGCTTCCAGCAGTCCTGGGGTCTTGGGGCAGTCCTGGAGCCCTCGTGGGAGCTTCTGGGAGCTTGCTGGAGGCGTCTTGAGGTCTTGAGTCATCTTGGGGTCCTCTTGGGGGGCTTTTGGGGTCTCATCACGTTCCCAGTGCTGCGCCCATCTTGGGCGCTTCTGGGGGCTTGCTGGAGGCCTCTGGAAGGTTCTTGGGGTCTCTTGGGGCCTCTTCAGGGGTTCTTGGGGCCTCTTGGGGACTTCTTGGGAGCTTCTGGGGGCCTCTGGAGGGGTTACTGGGGCGGAGAACCCGAAACCTCGGATTTCGTCGGAGGGTGTGTCGGGAACGTTTCTGAAGAAAAGGTGGCCAAGAAAACGACGATGCGTCTTGGAAATGGGCTCAGCATGCGACTAGGCGAGTTACGAGGTGAGCTCAGGACGTGTTCATGCGAGCCACATGGAAGGGAGGGGGTGAGCTCAGCACGCGACCGTGCGATTCACGAGGTAAGCTCAGCACGATTCCATGCGAACCACAGGGAAGGGAGGGGGCGCGGTTGCACATGACGGGCGAGAAAATTGAGTTTGGAGGATCTGGGGGCTCCTGGGAGCCGTCGGGTTTGGTTGGAGGTTGTGTCGAGGACGTGTCTGACTGTATGAGGACTGGATTAGACAACTTGCGGCGGTCGGGGGCCGCATACGGCCGGGCCGTATTGAAGCCTCCTGCAGGCTTCTTGTAGGGCTTTCTGGCAATACGAAAAGTCGCTAGGGGTTTCTCTGCGACAGCTGTCCAGAGGGGAAGGCGGCCAGAAAAACCACGGTGCGTCTTGGAGGTAAGCTCAGAACGCGACCATGCGAGCCACGGGGTGAGCTCAGCACGTTTCCATGCGAGCCCAGAAGGGGAAAGCCAAGGTGCGCATTACATTGGCTCCCGTGTGGTCCGACTGACGCTGTGCTGCTTTACGCGCATTACATTGGTTCCCGTGTTGTCCGTTTGACGCCGTGAGGCTTTGTCGAAGCGCCTCCAGCCGTCGTGGGGCCCTCTTGGGGCTGTCCTGAGGCCCTGTTGGGCGCTTCTGGGGGCTTACTTCAGAGGTGAGCTCAGGAAATTTCCGTACGAGCCAGGAAGTCCCGGGGCTGTCCGTTTGTCGTTGTGACGCTTGGGGGCCTCTTGGGGCCTCCTCAGGTCCTTCAGCAGTCCTGGGGCCCTCCTGAGGAAGTCCCGGGGCTGTCCGTTTGTCGCTCTGACGCTTTGTCGAGGCGCTTCCAGCAGTCCTGGGGATCTTGGGGCAGTCCTGGGGCTCTCTTGGGGGCTTGTCGGGGCTTTCTGGAGGCGTCTTGAGGGGGTTATCTTGGGGCAGTGCTGCGCCCATCTTGGGCGCTTCTGGGGGCTTGCTGGAGGCCTCTGGAAGGTTCTTGGGGGCCTCAGGAGGAGGAGGAAGGAAGGAAGGAAGGAAGGAAGGAAGGAAGGAAGGAAGTAGGAGGGGGAGGAGGGGGAGGAGGAGGAGGAGGAGGAGGAGGAGGAGGAGGAGGAGGAGGAGGAGGATGAGGATGAGGAGGAGGAGGAGGAGGAGGAGGAGGAGGAGGAGGAGGAGGAGGAGGAGGAGGAGGAAGAGGGCGCCAAGACCAGCCCAGAAGGCTAGACGCCTCACAAGCCCCCAACTTGGGCCCAGCATGGGCCCGCGTGGCTGCCGCAGTGGTCCGCGGAGCCCCAGGCGTAGCCCGAGAGCCCTTCTGGACGCCCTCAAGACCAACCCCAGGAGGAGGA